ATTTTAAAAATTATTTATAAAATTATATAAATATTATTAAAATTATTTAATAATTATTAAGAACATAGATAAAAATTAAAAAAAATGTATAAACTAATTTGATAATAAAATATTTATATTTTTATTAATATTTTTTTTTTTGTAACAGACTTTGTTAACAGGCTTCCGTGTAGGTCAGACCACTTAAACAAGTTAGGCCAGACCTAAAATAAAGCCTTTAACAAGTAACAGGTTAAACGCAGACCTAATAATTATGTTACAGGCCAGGTCTGTTTAGAGTAAAACCTGACCTGACCTGGTCTGTTTCTATCCCTACATGTATGGACTAAACATAAATACTTACTGATACAAGTTGAAATTTGATAAGTGAAGTCATAAAATAACTTCACAAAAATGAGTTCACAGGTTTCCGAGATCAAATGGTAAATCACTCAAGCTATTATAATATATTTAATTTGGAGTTTTGAAAAATTTGTTTTAATTAGTGAGTCATTGTTTTTTTAATTAGTTTTCCTAATTTTGTATTAATTCATTGTATTTATTGTTACAGTAGTGTTTTCAACTTTTTTTGAGTTTAAACATGTGGCCAATTATTTTTTTTTATCATAATAGTATAAATTTAGAAAGTACTTTAATAACCAATTACCGCAATAGGTTAATTCAACAATGAAATTATAATGCAAAGTAAAGATAAAATGCACTATACATCAAAACGTGGCATAAGATATTTATTTAATTCTTTACCTTAAATTCAAATATAACAATAAAAACAAAAAAAGAAAAAGTCCAAAATAATAATAATAATAATAATAATGCTTTGCTATGTTATCTATTTTCTTGCAGTTGGATCTCTAAGTTTATGGATTCTCCGAATTCTACTTTGAATATCCAAATCACGTTTCATTTTTCTTTTGTTCTGATATTTAATTTTCTCTTCAACAAGAGTGTGGATATCAAGCCTTTCTCTTGATCTACAGCAATAACAAAAGTGTGGTGGTTACGAAGCCGCACTCCACCATTTTTTAAGATAAGTGTTCTCCTAATTTATTTTATTTTATTTATATTATATTATGAGAAAGTATTATATATTTGATACTAACATGGGAGAAAAAAACAATGTAATTGCAAATAATAAAAATAAAAAATCAGTGTAATTTATCATGGAGGAAAGACGCAATGTTTATATAACATTGTGTTATGTAATGAAAAAATAATTTAAAAGATATAATTAAGCACAATGAAAATTTGTTACATATCACGTATGTCACATTTTACTACAGGACTTTAAGCAAAAAAAAAAAAAAACGTCACAATAGTTATATGATACATGTTCATTGCCTACTTATAACATTTTTTTAAGCTATTTCACACACTAAAAATTATAACGTATCATATTTTAGTGTAAAGTGTTTTTTATCTTTTATTTCACGCAATAATTAATTTGTAAACTACATTAATCCAGTGTATACTCTTGAAAGTTGCATTATCTATTCAATTAGCTTATGTCCAACTCACCAAAAACTCCCTGGTCTAACGCGAGTAGAATTTTTATTGTTTATATATTTTTTATCTGAAAACAAATTATCCATGTAAGTGTTGTTTGGAAAAGTACTCTAAATTTTTTATTTCACTACACTAGATTAGTTAATTACTAATTTAATTTTAACAACAGTTTACTAAGTCAAGCCCAATTTAACATCTTAAAATGATAAAATAAAAGGTTCGGCTACTGGGGCACAAGAGTATGATTAACAATTTAACATCATTACCAGTATTAGCAACGTAAGCACGTGTGGCATCTTTTTGGTTGCCTTCATGCAAGGCAAATGACTAATATAAGCATCTGTAGTAAGCTTTAAACAATTTTTATTTTATCATTTCCGTTCAGTTACTGACCTTCTAATGATTTTTCAGGTTTGTCTTTAATTATTTTTTAAAAAATGATTAAAGTATGTCTTTTTTATAAAATAAAAAATTTAAATAATTGATGCTTGTAATCTTAAAGATTATTTGCATAACTCACCGCCTAAAGTGTTTCTTTATCTTTATTGCTGCCTCATTACTCTTCATTTTCTATTATTATTCTACCTCAATAATTAATATATATAATAATAATTTATACCATAAGTATTCTCTATTAAAAATATTTAATATATTAAATCATATAAAATATAATATATTTTATACAAATTATACGATTGATATTTTGAATTGTATAAAAAAAAAAAACCAGAAAGTCGTATTTGTTTAGACATATACCGATATGATGTTTAAAACAAAATATCATTTTCAACGTATAAAAATCCTGTGATAATCCAATGAAATTATAAATAAGTGATCAAATAACGTTAAGGCATAATATATTGATACAGGAGAAAACTAATTGATAGTTGAATTTGAGTACAGAAACACGATATACTAATAAAATAGAACCAGCAAAATTAATAGCATAAATAAGTTATATATATATATATATATATATATATATATATACATATATATATCAAGTTTCAAACCGAGATTTGTGGATATATTATTTAAATTTTAAAATTTATTATATATTTAAAAATATATTATTATAAAATTAAATAATACAATAAAATATTTATTAATTTTATTTTTATATAAAATTTTATAAAGTTAATATATTTAATAATAAATTTTAAATTAAAAGTTGAATTAATTAATTTTATATTTTATAAAAAATATTAAATATTATAAGTATTAAAGTTTGAAACTTAATAGATATGAAAATTTTAAAATTTTTATTTTCATTAAAGATAAAAAGTGTATATTTTAAACAAAAATATATTCCGGTTCAATAAAGTTAGTGGAGGCCTTAACAAAATATCTCTTGATAATTTAGGTGTATAATTTAGAATTTGACTTAAGGTATATCTGGAAGAGGAATTTTGGAAGAGAAAGGAAGGGAGGGTTTATTTTTTAATTTTAAATTAAAAGAATTATATATTATTTATAATAATAAATATATTTTTAATACATTAAATTTTTTTAATATATTAATTTATATATTTTATTTTTAAAAATGTTAATTTTAAATATATTTACTTAAAATATAAATTTATCTTCTCTTCTGCTTTAAAACCCTCCTTTCCAAACAACCTCCTAAAAAAATTTATGTAATTTACTTGTACTTAGAATCATGTTAATTTTGGTAGTATAACAATTTATAATATAACTCTGCAAAATTAAATGTCAAGAAGAACATGATTGGTTACTAAAAGAGTCTAATTGGAGAACTAGTAATCAATCTAAATTGATGAACTCAATAGAATCTAAAATAATGGGAAAAAAAATGAAATTTGATCACAGTATTCAACAAGTTTAATTTGATTTATATTTGGCTCAGAATTTTGTTAAATGATTAAATATTTTTAGTTTTTCTTTTCATAAATAACCCAATTAAACATATTATTTAGCACATATATTTTGAAGAATAATAATCGAATAGATAACATTATTTTAGTTTAATTTATAATTTTAAATTAAAATATTTAATAATGTTAAATATTTAAAGAAAATTTATCACTCATGATAATCACTAATACAAGTAAAATTTTTTCTAATTAAATATATAATTTTGAGTTTCACTCTCTAATATTAATTTTAATCATAAATTTAATAACATATCTGTTATGGATAATTTTCTCTTTTTTTTTTATCATATCATTTTTTAATTATTATAAAAATTAAATAAAAAAGCATTGCTCTGGCCGTAAATACTAAATACGAATAGATAGGTAAATTAACATATATTTATAATAAATCATTTTTGACGCTTATTATATGTACGAGTCACACACAGCTGTCAGTAGGGGAAAGACCGAGAGAGAAAGAGAGAGAGTGAGAGAGAGAGGAGAGAGAAAGTAGTTGCACAGAGAGAAGAGAAGAGGAGAGAAAAGTAGACTTGGGAGGGGGAAGAGCGCAGGCAAACAGAAAGCGGTTATCTGTTTGTTTTTCTTCTCCGATCTGCACCGTTCACCACCATGCCTTCCCGTAGAAGAACTCTCTTGAAGGTCATCATTCTCGGTGACAGCGGGTTCGCTCTCCCTCTTTTCGCTTTCTAGGGTTTTTCTTTTTCTCAGATCTCTCTTCTCTCCGTGTTTTCCAACCTCTTATTCGCTTATTACGTTCCTTTTATTCCATTTCTTCCAACTATTTCCTCTTTATCTTCCTGTTCTGAACTTGTCATTCCATGATATTATGAAAAATTCTATGCATCTGTCAGGATCAGAAGAAGCATAGATTCGGTTACTTAAATCTATTCGACATTTGCTATCATGCTTAGTTGATTTACGAGTTACGAATATTTACGGTTTTTACTGGTTCTTTTTTTTTCTTTGATGATTTGCAGGGTGGGGAAGACGTCTTTGATGAATCAGTATCCTTCGGAACTCCATGTTTTTTACTTATTTTAATTTTCAATGCAATAGGTTTCTTATTGTTCAGTACAGTGTTGGGTTATGTATTTAGTATATATAAGTATTTCCCCTAACTTATATATTTTAGATATGTGAATAAGAAGTTTAGTAATCAGTACAAGGCAACCATTGGAGCGGATTTTTTAACCAAAGAAGTGCAATTTGAGGATAGGCTTTTCACCTTACAGGTTTGTGAATTGTGTTAGCTTGTTCTTGCGATGCATGAAAGTCATTATTATTGGGCCTTAACATCAGGTAAGACGGCAGATACTTGCGATGCTAGGAAAGGGAGAAAAGTAGCACATACTGATGTTATTGGAGTCTTATGTATCTGATATTATCTAGATGTCCCTATCTCATGTGTTGTGTTACGTGCTGATTTTGCGGAAGATTTCTTATGTTGCATCTTCCTCAACGATTGAGGTTGAACTTGATGTTCCTTGGTATAAGCCTGCACAACAAAGCATGTAATTGCCAAGGCATCAGATTTATGTGCACATCAAACTTTTCCCGTGTCTAGTAGTTCCTTAGATTTAGTTTCTCTACTCATTGCTTCTTTGGATGTTAGAATGTATCAATGTATATATTGCCTTCAAACACCTGTAATTAGTGACGTTGCTGAAAACGGGATGTAGGTAGTGCTCGTTCATTTTGTTTCTTTTGTTTCCAGGAAATCAACTACTCCTTCATTGTTGATTTCATACTAATATAGTATATCTTGGACATGTAACAACTTTGACATCTTTCTGATGAAGTATCTTCACCACTTGTGAGTTGTGATCTGTATGGAACTTCATATTGTACAAAAGAAGAAGTGGTTTTTATTAGTTTTACCTTTGACCATCAGTGGTGTGGATGTAGATTTCATTTAGTGAAAAAGAAATATAAATCTATTTAAATGATGACTAGATTTCTGTCGATTAATGGATCATCTTTCTGTTGCCCTCTTAAGATCCTTTACGGAGTGTTTCTGGTAGAAGATTTGTGAGTGACATGTGTCGGCATATTAAAGTCATACTCTTGCAGTGTGTGAGACATCATGTTACTCTGTTCCCTGTGTAAATCATGTTTGACCTATTCTAAATCTCATATTTACATTTCTGTCTTTATTTAAAGTTGTAAACTATAGCAGTTAAATTTTCTTCTCTTTCTTTTTAATTTTTAATATTCTTAACTTCACAGATTTGGGATACAGCTGGCCAAGAAAGATTCCAAAGCCTTGGAGTTGCTTTCTATCGTGGTGCTGATTGCTGTGTTCTTGTATATGATGTCAATTCAATGAAATCCTTCGACAACCTTAACAACTGGAGGGAGGAATTTCTGATTCAAGTATGCCTTTATTCCTCTCTTTGCAAAATTTCTCAATTCTATCTATTATCACAATCAATGTTGTAGAGATTTTATAACCTTTAATATTTGTGATCACTTTGGCAGGCAAGTCCTTCCGATCCAGAGAATTTTCCTTTTGTTGTTATAGGAAACAAGATAGATATTGATGGTGGGAACAGTAGAGTGGTATTTTCCCCCCCTTAAGTTTGCTATCTTCAATGTTTTTTTCCCTTTTTCCAAAACTGGTGCACCAGGCACAGTCATACTCAAAAAATACCTAAACACATTCTGCTACACATATGAACACAAATAAGGTTTTGTACACAGGTCTCAGAAAAGAAGGCTCGGGCTTGGTGTGCATCGAAAGGAAATATCCCATATTTTGAGACGTCTGCCAAAGAAGGTATTAATGTTGAAGAAGCATTCCAATGCATAGCAAAGAATGCCCTGAAAAGTGGAGAAGAGGAAGAATTGTAAGTTCTTAAACCTGGGCATCTCTTTCATATTTGTGAACTGATCAAGATCAACTGAGCATCTTTGTGTATTTGTTCGCAATGTAAATGCTGTCTCTTGAAATCAGAGAGATCTATATGATTAATTTTTTACTATGGAGACAAAACATTTGCTTTGATATAACAAAAAAATGGATTATGAGCATTCATGTTATTAATTGCAAGCTGATATAGTTTGTAAAATGATGTATGTTTCTATTTTTAATTTTAATTATTGGCATCATAAACTTTGGTTGTCATTGAGCAGCTTTCTCAAACCTTATATATACACCAATGTAAATTTACTTATAAATAATAAGAGTACTAAAATGGGACAAGCTTTTAAAATTTTATTGGATGTGCTGTGCTCAATATGACACTATTACTGTTGCTCAGAAATAATATTCGAAATGTTGGTTTCTATATCACTGTGCCCTGCAATTGATTATCGATTTTTAGTTCAATTGCACTATTTCTTGATAGTTACCCATAGGCTATGCATACATTTTATTATTTGAAAATTGATTTCGTCCAATGTTATTGATATCGTGTTTTTGGGTTTTTTTCCGCCGCGTGGTAATTGTGCTTATTGAAGATACCTGCCAGACACAATTGATGTTGGAAACAACAATCAGCAACGGGCAACCGGATGTGAGTGCTGAATATATAGATTTTCTTTCCAATACAAATAAAGTATATTACTTAAAATGATTTCGCCGTGTTTAGCCGAGGTTTCATTGTACATTAGTGTTTGTTTGCTCAAGAAACAAATTGGTCCAATGCTATATGTTGGGTACTTGTTTGGTTTGTGTTAATCGATCATATCAGTTGTTCTACTTGTATGCTATTACGATATTGTGAAAGAAACAGGGTAAGATCATTCTGAAGTTATTTGTTTCATTGTTTATCTTTCATGCTCGTACATCAATATTTTGCCCGTCTATTTTCATTTCTACAAATCTGTGAGCAACCATGATTGCAACGATCATGCTTAGAGATCAAGTGATCAACTCTCTGTCTCTCTCTCTCTCAACACGGTAGATAGAGATCACAATGAAATAAATTCTTCGAGCTTTGATACCAGTAACCTCTTGAAGTATTGCTGATTCCTCGTGAGATGGTGATTTTCTATGAAATAAATTTGAACCACTAACCCTTGGTGGCTGGCTGTGGACCACCGAATAGTTCATATTCTTGGTTCGTGTTAAAAGTCATAGAGTGGAATTTTGCCAATCGTTGTAATATAGACAATACTTCATTAGTCCCTTTCACTTTCGTTCTGTGAACTTCATTTAGGAAATGAGTATTTATTTCTAGTATCAAATCATAACTTTATTTTCGTGTTCGTACATCAATACGAGAAGAAATTAACCCCGTATTGATTCTGCGATAGATAATCGTAATTATTAACTTTTCTAATTTTACATTTAAACTCCTTCTAAAGAAACAATTTTTTAACTTCAATTTCTAATATTGGTAAATAAAATGAAAAAATTAGAATACTTTTTCATATTAAAGATTAAATAGCAGTTTAGGAAAACCAAGAATAAAATAACCGACAAGGTAAATTTGAGGGGTTTACTCCAGGAGAAACACAAACAAAATGATCCTCTAAAAGTCCACCGAAAATGGAGACCGAGGGCCAAAGGGCGAAAACTAGGATGAGACGCGAATAAAAAAGACATGAGGGAGAATAAAAGCAGGCATACCCTAGCCAATTCATACTGTGAGCATTGCCAGACAGCTATATATTCTTTATGTAGTCATCCAAATTTCAATATGCTCTTATCCAAGAATGTGGTGAATAGCATTGAAATTAGAGGATTGAACGCGCACATTTTGCACAACTATCCACTTGTTTTAAGTTAAACACGTCAAAAATATATATATATATATAAATAAAATTGCTCTACAACCTCAAATATATCGGTAAAAACTTCCGTCCTCTCATCTCCTGCTGCTCCTTATATCGGGAAAAGATGAGCTTCCAATGCACTATTCTGGTCACTGAATTCCCAATAGTTGTCAATTTGGAGTTAGTCCTAACCAGCACTTGACCTTTGAAAGAATTGACTGGGTAAAATGACCATGGGTTAATAATAATGCAAGCAACAAGTGTATATAACAAGAATTAGCAATAGTAGAACCAAACAAGCATTTGAAGTGGAACTAAATAAATTTTTGGACTTTACATGTGATACTCATGTTCAACTCGGTGCTTAAATAAAAGAAGTATACAATCTAGTAGTACCCATGCACAATCACACCGTACTCTGCAGTTCTAATACAGAGAAGTGTAGAAACCAAATTGAAAGCATGGAAGCTATCTTGAACAACAAAATTATTTCACAATACTCGTCGGTATTATCTGGTACAAAAACAATAAAGATGGAAGAGGCATCCATTTTATTTTAACCCAAGAAACTCTCCTATTAGCCTCCATAAAATAGATTAGCTTCTCAACAAAACAACTCTCAAATTCCTTTGCCACAAAGGATTCGACTCTTCTCTAAAACGTGCAGTTTTGATAAAAACATGCATATCGCAACGGGAAAATAAGAATGTGTCAAGTCTGTTTCTACACATAAGAAAAAATAGTGCTGTACAGCGCTAGTTTATCCATTTATTCATTTCAGTTCTAACATATCATACTTGATCAAGTGTATTAAATGAATGATATTTGTGTACAAATAGGGTGTTGGGAGCAATGTTGGGACAAAAAGAAAAAGAAGGAATGGAAACAAACTCCCAATATAGGAAAAAACATAAACCACTTAAAAATAAAGGAAGTACAAAAATCATGACTTTTTCATGCAAATTGGACTGTCATACTTTCTCAAGTTGAAATATTTCAAGTTTTCATCAACATAAACTTGTAAATATTCTCAAGTTGAATTCTATATGTTCCTTTAACTTTAGCATTTCCTAATTCTTGTCCTTCTGCATAATTTATTTTCTACTTAGTTTGTCTAAAAAGTACCAGCCATTAATTAAACTATTCAATAATATTCAATTGTGTAATAAGGAGTAAACTATCTTGACTACCAACTAACAAAAAATCCACAACAAAATGAGAATGCACACTCACATTGTCAAAATGATGGCGAGTGATCAGTAAGTACGAAGACATGAACTTTTTCCATATGAACTTGATATCTATTTTGTCCCAACAGAAGAAAGATTTTCCTGGCTGGATGGCCTAACTGAATTTCCTGCTGCAGTTGCAGATGCTAATGGGTTTTGAAGAGTATTAGCTACAGTGCCTACAGGTCTAGAAATCAGTGGCCTTTGCGGATTCATCATGATTTGTGGTCTTGGGAGTGAGTTTGCAACATTCATGGGAATTCTGTTGGTTGGTACAGATGGTGCACCTCTAGATGAGGAAGCTGGTAAACCAAGCCGGGATGCAATAATCAGAGCACGCTCATGATAAAGCTTATGTCGTGACCGCTCCACATGCTCCCTTGCCCTCATCACCACATTCTCCGCATCATTGAAAAAAGCCAGCTTTGTTTCCAACTTATGCAACTGCAAGTAGACAGAATTTACCAAGAAAATCAGAGGAACAGACACATGAACATAATGTAATGAGAGCTTTACCAGGTCATGAGATTACCTGCTTTTCTATCAATAAAGAAGTAAGCTGTCGGATTTGGTCTTCTTCCTGACTTGCTAGAAGTTTTGCTTTAACCGCTGCAGCAGCGAGGGTAGAAACAGCAGCACGTTTCACTTTCTCAAAATTGCTATCCTGTTTAGTCTTTGTACCATCATCTTTCACTTTTGTGCCATTCTCTGCATGATCTCCACCTGCCCCTGTAGGGAGATTTTATTCATTTTAGCGGACTAAAATTGAAATACAACAAAGAATCTTCAATTACTGAGACCTTTATTGCTCCAGTACATCTCTAATTACATTTCGTGAATAACTACTGCATTTCTTCCTTTTCTTTTCTTTTTCGTGTATGTGTGTGGATGAGAGAGAGAAAGTGACCTGTGTTTGCACCATTTTCAGGACCATAACTTGATCTAACAGGAGGTGACACCATGTCTACATCCTTTTCAGTCCCATTACATTGGGATCCTTTTGGTGTAATTAGTGGCTGAGAGTCAATCTTTTCAGATTGCAAGGAATTCGTAACTCCATCAACATCCATAACTGAGTCTGTTGATTCCAGAGACCCACCGACTGGATTTATAGATTGCAAATTTTGCGGCTTGTTTTTAGCTGAGGGAATCGAATCAGAAACCATCGCAGCACTTTTCGGGGTCTCCACTGGCTTTGGATGCTCTCCTGGTATGTTAGATTTAATTGACTGATGAAGTTCTTTCTTCTCTGATAGAAGAGGATCAGACACACATCTATCCTTTAGTTCCTCAACAGAACGGCTAGGTTCTTCAATTAAAGTTCCCTCCTGAACCTCGTCAGAACTAGGTGGAATTTCAGCCTTGGATGTTGAACCACCTGAACTATGCAGAGTGCCTGGTGCTTGATCATTGGGTAGCTTTGCACTGTTGGGATCATTACAATTATCAAGCCCAGATTCATGATTAATCATTGCTTGCTCCTTTGAAGAAATTGGCTTTCCTGAGGCTCCATCATCTGTAGAAGCCAGCTGTCCCTTGTCTTCTAAAGCATTACTCTCAATTTTCATGTTATCATGATCATTTGGTAAATCTTTATCATCCAACACTGGTTTATCCTGTTTTACATTTACTTCATCCTGATCTCCCTCACTTTTAGAATCCCTACAGTCCATTCAGACACAACACTGTAAGTTCCAATCAACAACAACTGGACTAATTATGGAACTACCAAAATGCAAACTCTCCATATAAACCACATACCTCTCAGAACTAGTTGATTCCTTCTTATTATCAGGTGGATCTTCTAAAAGAAAGCAATACCTTGCAGCAAGCTCGGTGCCAGAAGAATTTCCTGACATGGATTTTATGGAGCTATGAGCTGAAGCAACAGCCACATCAGAACCCACCAAGTGTGCAAGGAATGCTGCCTGTAGAAGAAAGCAACATGATGTTACCCAGCAAGAGGGAATGCGTAGGCTGAAAACATATACATGAATGACACAAGGAAAGAAAAATTGCATATAATGTAGTAAACATTATTTAACAGCATAATGAACACTAAAAATTTTGCAAGGCTTATCATCTGCAAGCAACAGACATGACACTGTGCACAAACAAGAGGGTGGTCAGCACTGGCAGTTACAGCTAAATATAATAATTAATTCAAAACTATGGTTCTAAAGATAGGATACTTACTTGTAGCCATACCCTGAAAATGCACAAAATCAAGAATGCTATTGTGCCTGAGTTTTTAACTTACCAGTGCCATGACAGGATTACCCACTTCAGCAAATGAAGAAGGGCCTTCAGGAGAATAACCAACAGCTGTGAATGCTTCCTTAAGAGCATTTAGAGCACAGTCATTGCCTGCTTCCTGATCAGACTTTACTATAACAGCATCTTCTGATTTAGTAGTTCCCTCACTAGTTTTCTCATCACCACCATGTAACTTTGGAATCTCCTCATGATTAACATTGGCTTTAACATCTTCAGCCTTGGAAGTTTCATCATGGCCTTTAATGCCATCACTAGAGTCATTCTCAACAATTTCTGTAGCATCTTTGTCCATAGATGAGTTATTGTTTGCTGAAGCTGGATCTGCAGTTTCTTTGCAATCAGCATCAACATTATCATCACAGTCAACAAAGGCATCCTCAATTGGCATTTGAACAAAGTGCAATATGCACTGAGTTTTTGATTTTGTTCCAACATGTTCTGCAATTTCATTCCAATTTTCTTTATATAGTTCTAATGCTTCAAGGAGCAGGAGGGTCTCTTGATCAGTCCACTTTCCACCATTAACCCCTGCAACTTCAGCTGGTTCCATGAGTATAAAATCCAATGAAGACATGCCAGAGCCAAATCTTCTATTACTAAAGCAGTCGGTACATAGATCAAAATCTGCCTGTCAGACACATCACAGAATTGATAAAATATACAACAGGAGGTCAAGAAGCAGAGAAAATAATCATGAACACCCACATCCCAACAATAATACACAAGTGATAATTCAACAAACAGTTAAGTAGTTAACCAGATTGTTCCTAACTAAACTAAAGAAACCGTTACACCCACAACAACAAGCAAAACAAACAATGACCTTTTAAATCAGTAAGCACTTCACCTCTCTTGATGAATGATTCTTTTGTAAGGTCACTAGTGTTTGAAAAGGTTTAAAAAATTGACTTCGTTGTTCCATGACTCTAGATATGTTCCTTTATGGTTGGCATTTAAGATTTAACAGTTTTTTTTTTTTGAAAAATCTACCTCAATTCAGATAAGATTGTAAACTGATTCCATACTATAAACTACAAAGGCAATTAACATATGATATTTTTGCTGACATCATAAAAATGTGCTGATAAATTAATTCTTCACTATGGAGCCAAACTGCAAACATACCAATTAATGGAAATAATGCTATAACTTTCATAAGAACATGAAGTTTGGGATGAGATTTCATTTGAGTAGTGGGCAAGGAATAATAATTTAACTAAATATATTTAAGCTTAAGCCATATCTTCACCACATCACTAAATTATGCATTTCAATGACTTATTCAGTTATAGGTCACAACCTGCTTCTGGCAATGGTAACGTTTGCGAGAACAATCAGCAGAACAAGAGTTGCAATGGTACTCGAGCATCTCAACTGCTGGGCCCTCTTGTTTAACCAACTCCTCAGCAATTGCAGACTCTGGAAACAAGCCAGAGGACACAGATGATGTCATTTGGCTAGACTTCTGAACAACAGGCGGACATAACTGGAGAGTTTCAAAGCGATATAATTTTTCAAGCAAGGAAATTTTTTCTGCTTCCCCATCCTCACTGGCACTGGCCACAGCAGAATCCATTGAAGGGAATGGGTGGAAGTTAATTAAACCCCAGTAGTCCAAAAACTCCATTATCTCTTGCCTAGCATCCAAGTCTCCGACATTAAGCTCTGATATGTCTTTTAATTCAATTTGTACATTTGGATTTGAATGAAACTTCTTCATTATCCAATTCCGTATCTCCATGTAGACATCAGGAGTTCGATTTTCAGTTTTTCCATTAAAGAAAGAAGGCAACGCTTGCTTCTCAATTGGATGGATACATGACCATGAAAACCAACCTGAAATTCAATTCCAAAAATAAAATGGGTAATTTAAGAATAACAATTTTAAACTTTGAATCAAAACTTAAAATTCTCTACTACAATTAAAAATTGAACCGATGGAAAATCATCAAGTTTTAAGTTCAATTATCCTTTTTAAGATTTAAGAGATATCTAAAGGGACACCATAATGGCATTACTAGTATATAGTTGGACAACAGAAAACTACATGAGAAATAAGTACTTATACTATTCCCTTATTTCGGTTATGCAATATACTTTATTCCCAGTGGTTTGCAGTGCTTCTTGTTTAGACTTAGCCCTTGCTTGTTTTATGGTTGAAAAACCAATTCATGCACTTTTCAATGAAACACACCTGTTCCAATGCAATATATGGCTGAGATTAAGTTGAACACACATCCCAATTATGTTCAACAGTTCAAAAGTGATTATATCAAAATCAATTCTACTCAACTTTAAGACAAGTGGACCCTTAAGAAAGTTCAGACAAACTAAACAGAAACAGTTATCGACAAAAGACTACCATTGATAAACCATTCCAGTCAAAAGCCCAACGTAAGTATTACACCCACAAATAATCTTGTGACTATAGCTCAGTTATTAAGGTGGAAAAAACAATATGAAAAGATAATTCACAAGCAAACCCAAACAGGTTGCAAGCAAGGAGTCACATTGTCATCAGTTATTTTTGCTAAGTAACATTGGGTGAAGATCAGCCTGCCATAATCAAATTTCTGAGTTTATAACAAGGACACACAATTTCCCGCATCAACCCTCCTTTATCCACATTCTTAGGGTAACCAAAGTTAAATTGTGAGTACCAGTAGAACTAGAAACAAGAACATCTACAAACGGCGAAAGCATAACCTGAAAGAATCTATCATACTCCAGTTTAGCCGAATCACTTATTTGCAGAACATCAAGTCAACAATAACAGCACAACCACATAAAATCAAATACATAATGAGTTTTACACTATTCTTTGCAATTCAAGTCCCAAAACGAAAGGCAAGCAAATTAGGGTTTCGTAACAGGCACGAAGTCTCACCGCAATGAGTGGGAACGACATGAGCATTGGTACCACGAGATCTGATAGCTTCGAATTCAGCTTCAATCGCAGCTTCGAGAGTCTCCCACTCGCTCTCCTTCTTGAGTTGCTCCGCGAGCGCCACCGAGTCTGCGCCTGAAGCCTGGATGAGGGCAGCGCGTTCGGAGTGTTTGACGGCGGCGGGAGCAGAAGCGGAACCGGCGACGGCGGCGGCGGAGAGGTTGTTAGGGGTTTGGCGAGCCCTGGTCAAGGGGCCATTGTGGAGCGGAGGAGGGTGAAGAGGCGAGGCCTTGTCGCGAGAAGTGCGTTTGGAGGGCGTGGAGGAGGAATTGGAGGCGTTGAGAGCACTGGCCTTCCTTTTGTTACCTCCGGCACGGCGGCGAGACGATGCGGGCTCCGATGCCGGCGAATCGACGGCGGAGGAAGGGGCGTCGCGGCGTTTCTCCTCCATGGAGATGAGTAAGGAGAAAGTGTTAGGGAAAATAGAAAAATGGTTGAGTGCAACTGTACTTCCCTTCCAAACATATACGTCATCACATCCCTCTTTTTGCTATTTCCAGCTACGCCTTTTGCTGCTTCCCCACTTTTTTATTATTAAATAATATTATAAAATTTATGTGAAATTTAATTTTAAATTAATAAATTTTACTCGTATTTTTATAATAATTTTAAATAAATTTTACTTATATTTTTATAATAATTTTTAATAAAAGTTAACTATAATTAAAATAATATACCAATCTATTCTTACTTCATAGAACTATTTTTTATATTTAAAAAAATAAAATTACTTTACTGTCATTAACTTTTAAAAGATGAAAATATTTTTAAATTTTTTTAAAATCAAATTCATCCTAATTTTTTTGTATCTTTTAAGAACGAAAAGTTATATAAATTTTATCTTTTAAATTTTAATATGATCGTAATATTACATTGTTAAAAAATTTAAAATGATATTTCACTTCATTTATAATTTATATCGAAGCTTGAATCACTGCAAAAATGTTCATTTAATGATATTTGAGAAATAAATAAAATACTAAAGCATGTATTATATCAAAATAGTATATAACTAGTTAACAAATAAATATATTAATTTTTTAATTAAAAATATTCTTTTTTTATTTTATTCTTTTACTTATTTGACTAAATCAATTGATAGATAAGATCAAATTAAATTTAAATAAAATATAAAATTAAATAATAATAAATTAAAATAATAAAATTACCTTTTAAATATTAATAGATTAATGAATTTTTTAAAATAAAAATTTTATTAAAAATATCATTTAACTACTTTTAATATTTTGTTCATTTAATTACATAATATAATCACACACTTTAACTATTAACTGTTATTTTATTTTTCTACTATTTTATTATTTTTATTTCTCTTTTTTTATTACACTTTTTCAGAAATGTAAAAAAAAACTATAACTTACATAAATTAATTTTAATAATTATGATTTATTTTAAAAATATATTAACAATTATATATTTTATACCATAATTCTTATGTTTATCATATTTTTTATTATTTATCACATATTTTATTTTATTTATTTATTGTCTTCTCCTAAGATATATATTATTGGAGAATTTTTAAAAAATAAATAAATACTCAAAAAAATCTCATAAATTATATTAGAGTAATCTTAGGAATAAACTAAAGTTATAGGAAATTTTTAACAAAAATAGTGAGCTAACTCTAATAGCTTAATTTATCATTCAAATATTTTTTATTATGGAACCTAGTCCCACTACTATCAATTGTGGATTACACTTCTCAATTTCGAGCAAAATGTTGGGCAATCAGTGAATGATTTTTTTATTCAATTCAACCAATTTGGAATTAATATCTCAAGATAAAATTAGTGACAACCATCTTCATCTCATTTAGGTTCTAATAGCTCTTCAACCAGAATATAAGGCTATCCCTACCTTTCTACTACATCAATATCCCTTCCCATCATTGGATGATGTCATTCAAGAAATATTTTTGAAGAAACTCTCCTTAAGTATGGATAAAACTCCTTAATTAGATAGAGCTCTTGCAATCAATGTTGTTAAAATCACAATTTTAATCTCAAGATCATATGATCTTACAATCTTTCCCCTGCCTTATGATCTTGATCAAAACTAAGATCGGAAAATAGCAAGATTAGGTAATGCAGGTTTCTAGGTCATTGTGGTGCATCCTTAGGATCGTAGGATTGACTATCCGATCCGATCTTGGCATGCAAGTTTCTAGGTCATATTTTGCGATCCAATTTTTAAGAACATTTCTAGGGCATTTTTATCCTATTTTGGAGCTCTCTCCTCTTGCAACAACATTCATTCAACTAGGTCATAGTTTCTTTCATATTCTCTTTCTTTTGAATTGTGCGATGACGACTGTTTGTGGGTTTGAATTCTAATTCTGCGACTTTTACAGTGTGGGTTTTTGTTGTTTTTTCCTTTCTTCTTTCCAGTGATTTTGTATTGGTGGGCATTTGCTATTTTGGTTCGCTGCTCTGGTTCACGGTTCTACATGGGTGTAGGTGGTTTTACATGGATGGTCGTGGTTCTACATGGATGTGGTCTCAGTTGTATGGCTGTGGGTGGGTCTTAGTTCTTCATTTGTCACTTTGATTTTGTTCTTTCATTGCTGCATGACGACCAATATTAGAAATAAAGTTGGTGGCAGTGAAAAAGGAAAAGAGATTCAATCAAGTGAAGTTGCAAGATGTGAAATTATTGATGAAAGTGAAACTTTGAGATCAAAATCAAATAATACTGTTGGAACAAGAAATGACGTGGCGTGAAATCTTATGTTTCTATTTTTGGAGATGCTAGAAGAATTAAATATAAATATTATGAGAATGAATATATTAGAAGAGTTTATCATTTCAAACATCATTTGGTAAAAACAAAGCAAAATGTTTGAGCTTGTATGGTTGTCCCTGATGATATTCAAAAGTAAATGTGGGACATTGTTGTTAAATTTCAAGAAAAATTTATAAAAAAATAAAATAAACATACAGTAAGATCTTGAAGGAAAGACAATAGAAGATGATGTTGGTGAATTTGAAAATGTGAGCAAAAGAAAAATACAAGGTAATGTTGAGAGTCCAACAATTCTTTTCAAGAAAAGGGAAGTGACCACTCAAGCTACAATCAATTCAATTTTTAAGCAAGGTTTAAGAGAGGATGCATGTTTAAAAATTACTTCATTTTATTACAATAATGCAATATCTTTCAATTTTGTGAAGAGTGAATAATTTAAAAAGATGTGTGAGGAGATGGGTCAACATAATATTGGATTTAAGCCACCATCCTACTATGAGATTCAAGTAAAATATTTTAAGCAAAAAGTTAAGGAGACAAATATCATTTTGAAAGAGCACAAAGCTACATGAAAAAAAATAGGATGCACCACAATGACTAATAGATGAACTGACAAAAGGAGGAAGACTATATTTAATTTTTTGGTAAATAGTCCTACAGGAATTGTGTTTTTGAAGTCTATTGATGCATTTGATATATGCAAAATAGTTGATAAAATTTTTAAGATGATAGATGATGTTGTTAAAGAAGTTGGAGAAGTATATGTGGTACAAATTGTGACGAATAATGTTGTAAATTATAAGGCAGCAGAAGAAATGTTGATAGAGAAGAGGAAAAGGCTTTATTGGACACCTTGTGTTGTGCATTGTATTGATCTTATGTTGGAGGATTTTGAGAAGAAGATACTATTACATAAAGTGCAAATAGGAAAAAATTCACAACTTACATCTATTGTAGAAACTAGTCTTATATCTTTGTTGTATTGCTTTATTCAATGTACATATTTATTTAGACCTGCAGCTACAAGTTTTGCAACTTCTTACTTGACTTTGAAATGCTTAAATATGATAATCAAGGATCATTATTGAGAATGTTTACATCCAAAGAATAAAAGGATAGTAAGTTTACCAAAACTAAGAATGAAATAGTTATTGAAAATCTAGTTATAAATAAAAAGTTTTGAAAAGATATCTTGAATTGTGTAAGGGGTATTTATCCCTCAATTAGAGTGTTGCATATGATGGATTCAAAGGACAAGCCAGTCATGGCTTTTATTTATGAGGAAATAGATCTAGCCATGGAGAAAATTCAAACCAACTTCAATGGTGTTAAAAAAATATATATTAGACTCTAGTTTAATTTGATAATTATAACTTTGATTTGAAAACTCATTTTTTTCATTCTTTAATCTCTAATTTCATGCCACTATGGGAGATAATTGATAAAATGTGGGGCAACCAATTACATAAACCTTTGCATGCTGCAGGCTACTACCTTAACCCAATTTTGCATTATTTTCTAGATTTTGAAGTTAATTTTGAAGTTAAGCATTGATTATATGAGTGTTTAAAAAGAATGGTAAAAGACATGGATGAAGTGAATAAAAGTGATGGTCAACTAAAGTATTTCAAAGCTAAAAAAGGGTATTTTTGTACAAAACTAGCAATTACTGCAATGAAAGTAAAAACTCCAGCACAGTAGTAGGAATCTTATAGTCGAGAACATTGAGAGTTGTAAAGATTTGTCAGTCATGTATTGAACTTGACATATAGCTCATCTGGTTGTGAGTGTAATTGCAATGCTTTTGAAATGGTAAGTAAATTATTTCTTAAAACTACTAAGTGAACTACTTTAATTATTGCATTAAATTATTAATTAATGTTGTTGATATTTAGGTTCACACCAAGAAAAGAAATTGTTTGAAGGAAAAAACGGTAAATGATGTTGTATTTGTCATGGAAAACTCAAAATTGGGCAATAGTATCAAGAGGAGGAAAGAGTTTAACTTTAACATTGAGGATATTGCTTATGATGATGATTGGATTATAGAGGAGGAGAATGAGCTAAGATCAAATATGAATTTATACGAGAACTTAATTCAAGATGGAGAAGCAAGTAGTAGTTTTGGTAGTGCAAGTAAACATATGGATGTTTTAGACCTTGTACCTACTGATGATGATGATGAGGCCAATGTGGATGATATTGATAAAGATGATTATTTGGAAGACGATTATCCTGATTGTGACTTGCAAAATTTATTGTAATAAATTAGTGCTAGTTTAAATAATTATATATTATATTGGATCTAAAATCTATGACTTTTAAGTTATGTTTAATTAAATTATGTGATTTAGATGTTAATTTCCTTATGTATGTTATTTTTTATGCTTATATATGTGTATGTGTGTGTGTGTGTGTTTAAGTATAGTTTTACATGTTTTGTAGGTTCTTAAATCTCACAATTTATGATTTTCTATCTCCCTCCTGATCCTAGGTAAGATCTTGATCTTGAGAATATTGCTTGTAACTACTAGATCCTCATAACTTAAACCCAACAATGTATTTTTGTAAGAATTGTCATAAAATTGACCACAACTTTTTCACTTATTCTATTGTACAATGTAAATATTGTCATAGTTTTACTCACATTCTTGAAGATTGTCC